AAATTACATGGGGTATGAGTTTTTTGGACGTAAATTTTCGATTATAAAATTTCTCCCAACTTCTTTGCAAGTTCGATTGTGCCCCCTAACTTTTAAGTTCTGCATCCGCCCTGGTAGGGTACATCGATTGTGATTTCGCATGAGATCGGATAATAAAAAGTCAAACTCAGCACACTTCTCCACCCAGGGAAAGATTTGTATAGGCTGGAAGACTAAATTAGAGCCTTTAGTTGCCTTATCTAGCTCAGAAGCTGAGTATATAGCCATAACAGAGGTCGTAAAGAGGGAATGCGGCTGTAAAGTCCGTGAAATGAGTTAAATTTGTTTAACTTAAAAGGTAATCATATTCCGTGACAATAAAGTACATTGCATTCATCTATGAACCTTGTATTCCATGATAGAAGTAAGGACATTGGTGTAAAATCTCATTTTGTTCTTGAAAATGTGCTTGCATGTGATATTAAATTGGTCAAGGCCTAAAAAAATGAAATCCATTTTATATAGGGACCAAAAGACAGAGCAAGTAACGGTAAAATATTTCTTAGATATTCTACACATTGACAATGGTTAACATCCTTGCACGAAAGTACTTGAGCAATGAGGCAGTTTGTTGAAGGAGAGTCTCCAATCTCCAAGGATCCGGGCTCAGTATCGTTGAATCAACACCACAATCAGCAACCCAAATCCCAAACGAAAACCCCCAAAACCCGGTTGCTCCAACTTGCCCACAAAGGGCAAAGTGTGAAAGTTCATTGTAGCCTCAAAAATCAGCCAGAAAGGCTAAGGAGAAGAAGAAAACAAAGCATGAAGCCAAGAGCCGTCGTTTTCTCTCAAATACAAAGGGGCTAATGAAAACCAATTTCACACACACAAACGCAACAGTAACGGGCAGCAAATATAAGGTAGAAAAGTGTGGGCTTTAGGTTAATAGATAATAGTGCCCAATAAGTAGTATAAATGAGTTATCAACCAAAAAGTCATCCAAGAGTTTTGAGTTGGGTCACGAGCAGCACTAATTAAATTAGGCTACTTCAAATGGCCCAAATAGGTTATATGATTGGTTAAGACAATTGTGGTGTCAATATACAACTTCAGTCATTTGGTCGATGCCGGCTGAATAAACAATAACTTACATCATCACTTGGGACATCGTTTGACAACAATTTGCCTAACAAACCTCCACCTTGGTGTCAAAGGACCTGCAACGCATTAGTAATCATCCAGAAAGTTAGAACCAGTAAAATTGGAAATTATTTACCTCCACCGACGTTTAAAAGATCTTTACAACTTCTAAACTTCACCAACGGTAGCACCTTAGTACTCATGTCTGAAGGATTATATTGTGTGTGTATTTCTCAAGTCTTACAACTTCTTGTGATACAATATCTCTAATGAACTATAGTCTAACATCAATGTATTTTGTGCGTTCATGAACAACATGATTCT